GCTGACCAGAGGAAGCCTTCTAGAGAAAGACATAGGATGTAGAAAACTTTGACCTTACCTGCTCCCTAAAGTGCTTGCAGCCAGAAAAAAAAGAAAAAAAAAAAAAGAAAAAAGAAAAAAGTAATTTCGTTTCACCACTTTGCCAGAGACGATAATCTCTCTCTACCTCATAGAAACAGCCGTATTGGGTCAGATCTTTGTACACATTTGATACATATAAACAGTATTACCATTTACTTAGGGTTTGAAGGTTGGTTGGTTGTTTTGTTGTTTTTTTTTTTTCCTGAAGGGGATCATGAGAAGAACAGCGGGTCAGACAGGAAAAAAAAAAAATATTTCTCAGCTTTGCTCTTGACACGGCCATGAAAGGACTGAAATTCTTCAGAAGTCATTCAGTCTTTACCTCTAGGTCCCCTTTGTGAAAGCAGCCGTCACGACAAGTTGGACTGGGGCTGCCTTCCCACCGAGGCCCCTCTACCTGCGCTCCGCCACAAAACTCCTAAAATACTTTTTTTTTCTTTCCCGTCCACCCCCTCCTCCCCTCCCTCCCGTGACAACTTCTCTTGGTGTCATCTCACCGCTGTCTCAGATTACATTGTTTGGGATCTGCGCTTTGAACACTGTCTTAGGGCCCTGCACCGCCTTTTGAACCGAGATGCAGGCAATATAGTTTTCGATCAGCTCCCTAACGCTGCCCCCACCAGCCCTCCCGTGGGCACGGTAACAGCCCCGCGCTTCCCCGTTAGTCCGGCGCCCGGGGCAGGCCCGGCGCCGCAGCCTCCTGACAGCCTTTCCTTCCCAGCATCCCTGCTGCTAACAGGCTGCTGTGAAACCACAGGGAAAAAAAAATAAAAACCAAAACCAAACAAACAAAAAAACCAAACAACCAAATCACCTCGCAACCCGTTTTGATATGAAACAGTAAATATGAAGAACCCTTTCGCTATTGTTGCTGTTGTTGTGGCAGTGAAAGTGGTGGTGGTGATGGGGTTTTGTTGGGTTTGTTGTTTTGGGTTTTTTTTTTTTTTTTTCCACAGCATGCACACTTCATGGCACTCAAGCATGAACTCCTACTTACAGAAGGAAAAAATGCCCTCCGTGGTTCTACATTTATAGACGGTGCCAGGAAGTGGGGGAGTGGAAGGGAATGGCCATTCTTCACCGGCTCCCTTTATCTCTTGGCGGTGATGGGGGTTTGTTGGGTTTTTTGTTTGGGGTTTTTTTTTTTTTTTTCCACAGCATGCACACTTCATGGCACTCAAGCATGAACTCCTACTTACAGAAGGAAAAAATGCCCTCCGTGGTTCTACATTTATAGACGGTGCCAGGAAGTGGGGGAGTGGAAGGGAATGGCCATTCTTCACCGGCTCCCTTTATCTCTCAAAATACGGGGTGCCCACGGTCTCACGTTAATAAAGGAGCACTTATATTGGGAAACGTGCATTTCTTGCATCGTTTCAGATTTTAATCATGCTGCCTCCCCTCCCCTTCGCCATCCCATTATCCAAGTTCTGCATTGATTACCGAGAGACTGAATATCAAAGTATTGGAAGAAGCAGGAGTTTAGACGGAGGCACATATTTTTAATTTAGGAAAGGCCTACAGGGACTAAGTTCTCGTGAGTGTTCTTGGGAGAAACTGGAGATTAAAATGTGTTTAGTCCCCTCCCCGAAATGTCTTCATCCCAATCAAGACATAACTGGTTTATACAAAGAGTTTTATGATAAAAGGCAATAACACAATGTCATAAAAAAAACCCCTTCTATAAAATTGTTAAAGAGCAGTTTGTTTGCGTTTCTCCTGATTGATATGTAAATACAGTTTGAACTGTGTTTGCTCGGTCTCTAGTGCTTAATAAAGAGATGAATTCACCTTTCTGTGGAACAAGTAAACAGACTTTAAACTAAGCCGACATCAGACAAAGTGGAAACGAGTTTATTTAATCGAAACTAAATCTAGTTAAAGAAAGATAACTCAGTGTACATAATAATCCATTACAGTAATTACACCCACCACCAAATATGTGTTTATGAGGTTGTCGAGACACAATAAAATTCATTTATTTCCCCCGAAGTCTATAATGAAAAGTCACTGGCTGGATCTCTATGGAACATGCTAACTCCAGTATTTGGGGGGAGGGAACAATTTTTCTCGGCTGTATTAATGCCTTTCAGTGCTCCTCACTTTCTAATGTTCCTGCGTTTGAAAGGATGCAAACATTAATTACATCTGAAGGGGAAATGTCAACTTAAGCACAGCACTTTCCCTTCAGTCTTGTGTATTAACTCCGGGAGACGCTATCCCTAATTTTAAAAAATCCGTAGAGTTAACCCTGCTCTCCTCGCTCTGTCCGCGGGATCTGGCAGCGCTGTGCCACGGACCAGGAATTCCCAACACTTTCTTCTGGCAGCAGAAATAACAGCACTAAGCTCCAGACACACAGACACACACACACACACTCTGCCATTCTTAACATGATGTTATAGATCTGAAACGAACACTCTGCGTGAGAAAGAAAATAATAATATAAAAGGAATATCCTTTGGGTTAGTTGAGAATGTCGCTGTATAAAGCAGGACATAGTATAAAGAATGAAAGGTCTCGAAATTCCTGTTGACACACGTGTTGTTCTCTAGTTAGAAATAAAGTGGGGGGAAGAAGGGGACAGAAACACTCTGATAATCTTTTTTTTTTTTTCCCCTTCTGTCTATTTCCCTCTTTCTCCGTCTAGCACTCGGTGTCCGAGTAACGCCGGCTATCTTGTATAAATAAAGACTGGAGCTTTCGAAAGCTGCTACTTAAGCTGGAGGTTGGGTTGTTTCCATCCCGAGCAAGCTGCTTTCTTTCTCTTCAAAAAATATGAGCATTTCATAATACCTCTGTAATTCAGAAGTCTTTCAATGACTGTGATTCGCTCTGTGGTTCATCTGATAGGATCCGGAGAAAAAAACGAAACCGAGCAGCAGATGCGAAGGGAAACACGCTACGTAGTATTTTAGGGTGGGGGACTTCTTATTTTGTTACACTCACAAAAGGGATATTTGGGACCCAAAAGATAGCGAATTACTTGTATTTCGGGCTTGTCCGATACGAGCTGCTTAACTTGATAGGCTTTATATATTTACAGCAAAGTTAATACCTAACTGCCTTGCATTACCCACAATATTGACCTTCCTACAACCGCCCGTCGGTGTCTCAGCAGGCGCGTACCCCGCGCACCCCGCGCACCCACGCACCCACACGTGCGCGCACGCGCACTTTCTCCTCATCTCCTTCGTGACAAGCTTCCCAAATCGCTACACACGCACAAAAAAAAAAAAAAAAAAAAAAAAAAAGCACAACCAAACCAAATGCGCGTTACACTGAGGTGTAGCCTGCAGCCAATCTCTCGCCTGGGTGCCGCAGTGGACGCGTGCAGGAGTACCTGCGTGGTCGTGTGTGTGCAGGGATGCTTGCGGGGGCCCGTACGTGCAGAAAATAAAATACAGTCTGATAAAGAAAGTTAATTCAAGCTACGTGTCGTACACAATAAACTATCTTTTTATTTTGATTATAAATAAGGTGACTGTATTTCCCTTAAAATACAAGCACATAGGAAAACCTGGTAGAAATTACTCTTTCCTTTAACAAGGTCTTAAAACTGGACGCTCTTTAAATTGGCCGCATGTCCTACACTGTCAGCAGATTCTTCGTTAATTTGCTTCTAGTGGCATTAGACTTAGAACTTCGTTCTCCTCCGTGCCTTTGGCATTTGAATTTCTACTCCCGGAATATTTTGCTTTCTCTAGCAAGAAGTCTCTGAGGTGCCACCCCCACACACACCCCACCCCAATAATCGGGCTAATGAATCTGGACTCGATCCCCTCGCTCTCGAGTTCGTGAATTCCACGCGTTTTTTGGTCACTTTTGCACACTGAGGACTGATCCTGTATCCCGTTAACTCCCTGGCGCAGCTCCCCTCTGGGAACAGGGTCTGGGCCCTGGGAGGGGCAGGGGCCTTTCAGGATTTGGCAGCATCCCGGGTTGTTTTTCCATTAAGGAGAAAAAAAAAAAAAACACACACACAAACAAACAAACAAAACCACATAGTGGGAAGGGAAGCTCCGGAGGTGAAACCAAATGGGAATTAAAAAAGAATATTCGTAATGTGTATAATTTATTAGAAGCTTCTTAGGAACTATATTTAAGCCAAATATCTACATAAGTTACAACAGGAAAAGGCGGCGTGCGCAAATAACAAATTGCCAGAGGATTTACGACGGGGCGATCAGTGTCCATAAAAAAGGTGGGGGTCGGTTTGGTTGATTGTATTTTTTTTCCTTTTCTTTTTACAACAAAATATACAGCCTACTAAAAACTATGGGTTTAGTCCAACTTTTGACAGCATTATACAGCTACAGGTTCACATCAAACGTAAGGAGGAAAATAAAAGGCAAGCCTTTGATGACTCCACGTCTCCATCCGCTGGCCCTGGCGCGGGGCTGGGAGCGGAGCCCGGGGGAGGGGGGAAGCTGCTTCTGGTGTCTGGGTGACACGAATGCGTTATTTTGGGGAAAACAACCCCATCCCCCAAAATCTCTATATTTACATGCAAGTCCTAGACGCTGGAAAAGTGTGTATCTGAAATCCAAGCCTTCGAACCATGCCTAACGATGGTCCCCTTTCCACAGACTGCTCCGAGGTTATGAGTCAGAATTTTTTTAACACCCCGTACAACAACCTTAGGGGGGGAAAAAAAAAAAAAAAGACCCCAAACCATCAAGAGTAGCAACAAAACCAACCAAAAAAAAAACCATGGTCTCTCTTTTAGAGGTCCTCACAGAACCACTCAGTAAAAAGGGAAGGGGGAAAAAAAAAACGTAAAAAAAAAAAAAAAGAAAAAAGAAAATGAAAACACCCAGTAGTTTGGACAGGACAGAGATTTGCGACTGGGAAAATCTGCTTTTTTTTTCTTTGCTTTTTTTTTTTTCTTATTTATTCTTTTGCTTTGTTTAATCCTTTCACCAGGTCCTACCGTATAGCAAGGTGGAGCAAGACATGGCAGTGCCATAGTCAGAAGTAGAAGAGTTTAGGTGAGACAAACTGGAGACTTGGCTCTGCAGAGACGAAGGGCTGGCCGAGTGCTGTCCCATGTCTGGAGACTGCCC